GTACATTAACAAAAGAAAAAAGAAAAACAAACAAAAAGCCACTGAGCAAAAACAGACACAATGTTAAATAATAACTAGATTGTAATAAAACCGGTTTAACAACCATTTGAAAGCTAACTAAAACAGACATGTTTGTAAAAATGGTTGCTGTGATTTCCAGTCCTCTTCGCCTCTCTTACTGCTTTTTAGTTTGAATGCTTAAAAGAGACAAGAGAGACTGTACAATGTGTACACTCTGGAAGCATAATTGAAAATGCTGCATGGTGGACATTTAACAAAGCTTCGGTTCAGGACCTGAATGAGCATAAAAGCTCATAAAACAACAAGGACTCTGCAATGCAGGCTGGTTCTAAGCCATTTAGGGCTTTATATACAATCAAGATCAATTATAATTAATACAGGGAGCTGGTGTAGTCTAGCTGAATATGCTCTGCATTTTTAGCTTTGGTCAGGAGTCTAGCTGCAGAATTTTCAGAAGTTTCATCCTTTTAAAAGTGCATCGCAATAGAATACACACTCGGCTATGTACGAAAAAAGATTAGGTGCAACATGGTGGTTGGAATGTGAAGAGCCATCCAGTTATGGCAGTATGTTGTTTAGCAGTGTTGCTAACTTGGAGTGGAAGTAGTTTGCATCTAAATGTAGAGGGCCTGGCCCACTCTGCAGCCAATGAAAACAAAGCCAAGAAAGATCTGGGAAGATTGCCTGCTATTGTGCAGCTGGCTTACACTTTCACGTCCTAATCCAAAAGTTAGAAAAACACCCAGTTGCGTTTTCTATTCTCCATGGCTTGCCTTGCTGACTTGAGTCCATCCATTTTGTTTTTGATAGCCCGGCCTCTAACTGCGACAGTTTTGCTTTCTTGTCAGTCTTTTTTGGTAACAGATGGGGTTTCTCACGAGCGGAGGGGGAGAAGGGACGAGGAGGGAAGAGTGGCTGTAAATCAGGGTTGTAGAGAGAAACGGGTGGTTTTATGAGAGTTTACAGACCTTCTTCACTTTTAATGAGAAAAGACAGCAATTCTGTTGTAGACAAAGGAAACGGGGAGGAGGGTGAGAGGTAAGATGAATGTGGTGGTGGTTAAGAGAGGAGAGGAAATGGGACAAGAAAATGGAATACAGGAAAAAGGTAAAAGTTAAGTGGGATTAGCAGAGGAACTAGAATGGCGAGAAACCTTGAGAGGGAAGGGCAGGAAAGAAGGATGAGAGGCCTATCAAACTGTTGGCAGGGATCCACTTGGCATATGAATTTAAAAGCAATCTGTCTGTGCTTCGCTCAGTCCAGAGTATGGCAGATGATGGTGGTTACACGCAGTGCGCATGTAAAAAAAACAAAAAAAACAGAGACATGGAACAAGGTGGAGTGTTTGCAGCTGCTTCCTTCATTCTTGTTGGAGCCAGACCCCCCAACATACCTATGACACTTAACACACATAACGGCATACACTCAGTGGGCTGGCCAGTGGGTCAGAAGCTAAAGGTCACTGTCACACTGTGACACAACGGAGATCTTATTACCAACCCCTCCGATGTGTGTTTTTGTCTGTCTGTATGTGTGTTTTTCTTCAGTCTACTGCCTGTCTGCCTGCCTGAGTCTCAGTTTTTGCTGGTGCGTTTAACTGTTTACAAGCGAGGCCATGTGGAAGGCTCACCCTCATGTTTACTATTCATGTGTATGTGTTTGTGAATGTCGCTGTGTGTATTAGTGCTGCCCTGCCCGCAGAGGGGCCCTGTAATTATGTGTAGACCCCCTCATCTGCAGCATAAGACGGCTGGGAGCCTTTTGAGTGTGCTGAGGCCCAAAAGAGGCACTACAATCACTCACATCCCATCAAATCTGAAGCCATATCCAGATGTAGTTGGGATTGAAAGGTGCAGTTTTACTGCATATTTGCTGCTCTGCTACTGAACTGTAGCTCCACCCAAAAGTGGAGATTTTTACTTTTTTTTGTTGTTGTTTTACATCTGTCTGTATGACAGATAATGATACGGCATCTTCAGTGCAGTCTGTGGTTAGTGTTTGGACAGTGACACTTTTTTGTCGTGTTGGCGACAACGACACACTGGGCTCGCAATGAAATAATCACTGTGAGGTTAAAGTGGTAACTTTCAAGGGGAACTCCTCCGATTTTACACATCAAAGTGTGTTTATGGGTCTTGGGGAGTACTACTGGCTTTTTGAAATAAACTTGACTGACTTGAACTGACTCAAATGATGTCAAGTGATGCGTTGTTTAGTGCAGAACACAGCGGGCAAATCTGGAGATGTGTAGTGAGAAAGAGGGATGCTTAGCAGACCTCTGTAGCCTGCTCTTCAACTCTCCGTGGTGCCCCTCCCAATACTTTCCCTGCATTGATTGTGTTAATTCTCTTAATACCAGTAAAGACACATTGCAGTGACTATTGTGCTAATACTGGGTAGGGTTGAGACAGTTATGTAGCAGACCTGTATTAGAGATCCCACATCCAGCCTTTAAAACCTGGTCACCAGCAGCAGCAACATTTCATGGGAAATGATTGATATGTTTTTAGTGTAGACTCCCTTTCATACAAATACTGTCTCGCACACAAAAACTCACACATATTCTCTGGTATGCAGACTTGTTGCAGCAGGATTCAACGAACCAAACATGCCTTGTAATTTTAATCCCAGAATGCAACATTTTATAGCCGTGTTATGATGCAGTTTCAGGCATCATCCTTCCTTTTGTCTTTGTTTTTATACTTGAGCTCTGGATGTTTTTTTCAAATCAAATGATATGTATGAACATTCAGTCACACCCACAGACCAATCTGTCGTTTCACATCAGTGATTCCTAAAGATGCATTGCTGCCACAGGCTTCATTTTACCTGTCCCAACTTAAACCATTTGGAAGGATACATTACAGTATGTGCAGCCAGTCCAAATTATACAGCTGCTCCTCAGATGTTTTACCATTTTTACTACAGTTGGTGTAACACCTAGTGTTGGCAGACAAACCAGATGTTTGTGTGTTGTTATGCCAGTAAACAGTAACAGCTCAGTATAAGGTTGGTGTGGCTCTCAACTGTTCTTGAGTGTGTTGTATAGATTTAGCCACATCAGTAAAGTGACTCAGCATTCATGGATGTATCCACTATTCATGACTGTGGTTGGTTACATAAACCTGTGTAAAAAAAAAAAAGAAAGTTATGTAAGGCTGGGGCTTCGTCATTTGTTGTTTCAGTATATTTTAGTTTAGTTTTTCAAAGTTTAAAAGTAAAGATAAATGTTGACAATACTGCCCTCATTTCCAGCTCATATGGTTTTTCCTCAATTTGGGTTCTTTTACTTGCTGGGAAAATGCATTCTACTTTCCATCAAGCATGCAAAAATATAAAGGTAACCTAACAATATAGCAACATTATTGCTGCCTTAGTTATTTACTAAAGATGACAAACAGCAAATCGGTTTCAAAACGCTATGCCAGGAAAGCAATGGCTCATATAGTTAAAATAGCTTTCTTTGCACAGAAGTCCACTGACTAATACATTTTTCTTTTTCTTTCTTTTTTCTTACAAGTCACAAAACAAACCCCAACTGCTGCAAGCTCTGTTGCCTTTGTGTGTATTATCAGAAAAATAGGAAAAACATGTGCTTGGCAAGGAGAGATGCTGTGTGTATGCACCTGTAAAAGATGTCTCTTGTAGATTTTGGAGGGATTTGTTATCTTTTTCTGTGGTGGTAATAGGAATATGAAGTGAGTGGAGAGAGAGAGGGACATGATGTGCAGCAAATTTACCTCCACCAGGAATCAAACTGTGGAAGCTGTGGTTATGTGGTATGCACCTTAACTGTTAGGGCACTGGGACATCTCAGTAAAAGATGCTTTGGAAAATCAGCTGTAATTTGTTATGTCTGCATAGATTTGTGTGTTTATTGCTCTTTAAGACTGGAAAAAAATATCATGAAGTATACCTATGCAGTGATGTGAAGTTATTTAACTAAAAACAGGGAGAAGAGGTGAGCTAACTAAGATGAAATCTAGCCTCATAAAGGTTTAGTTCTCATGTTGAGAGCTGAGGTGCTTTTGCAACATTTGCAGTAAATTATGTCATTATGCAGTCAAGTGAGAGGAATTAGTGTTGAGTAAAGCAAATAACACACAGTTCAGTCACAATAACTTCACAAAAAACAACAGGCTCCTATTTCTAGTTGAAGAATAGCCTGATTAAAAAAAACAACTAACTGTTACTGATGATCAGGAACTTTTTTAAAATGACAGAATGTTCTGGCACCTACCAGCATACATTTGTTCCTACATGATGCAGCGGATTGCCTTATTTTAGAGGATTATGCTAATGCTTTGATTGATAAAATCTTTAATAAGGTGGATTCATTTCCAATTTTGAATCTCTTTGCAAGGGTCACTGTCAGCTGTTTAATAAAAGTCATTTATGACATAGCAGCATTTTTTTAAAGTTCTTATAGTTTTATCCTGTGAAATCATTCCAGGTGTTTTTTTTAGCCATCCAAACGGGGATAAGTGGGATTTTATGGTTCAGTCTAACTATGCTCATTATCAGTGTCTTCTCTTCTCCAAGCGGTTGGTCAGAACTGTCCATGAGTTTTGACTGCGTTATGCAGTAATGTGTGTGTGTGTGTGTGTGTGTGTGCGCGTGCGTGGTGGTTGTTGGAAAGCAGAGTAGGGGGAGTTTACAAGTCTCTTGTGGCATTAAGTTTATGATGGTTCCAGTCAGTACAGGGTTGGCAGGACTGCACCAAAGGAAGAAATATGAGCTCTATACAAAATGAGCCTTATGTTCACACACACACACACACACACACACACACACCTATACACACACACACCTATACACACACACACAAAAACATACACCCACCTTCTGTATTAATGTTTGATTGAGGTTGTGAATAATTGATGTCTTTATTATTTGTCCCTCTGGTGCCCTGCAGACCTCTTTCTCTCCCATCCTCATTCCCTCTCATTAATCCTATTTTATGTTTGTCTCTCCCTCAGGACGCTGCTGCTCCAGTGAAGACCTCGTGATCGGATGAAGAAAGAACCACTGACTACCAGTATGGACCTGCTCCATCCTCGAGCTTCTAACAATCTTTAGTTCTCTGGTAAGTAGCAACTGTAAAAGGCTTCTTTCAAGGCAGTATGTTAGAAATCGTTGTTCACAACCGAAAATAAAGGCCTGTTCCCGCTTCCGTTATTTACAAGCATTGCTGTTTGTGGTGTCCATGAATAGAGGTGGTGTTCAGACTTGATATAGAAATGGCATTTGGATATATTTAAAACATCTTTTTCTGGAAGTTATAAAGGCGTTGCAGTAAAATCCATTATAATTTTTTATAGATTTTTAAGATTTCTTTTGCAAATTAAACATTGTTTTTATGAATATAAACATATTGTGGACCACTTGAACCACATTGGCCCCTTATTGCTGTTGAGGTTAATTTAAAACTTGCTAAACGCATAATATCACATTAAGGGAAGCAGAATCTTTCTATGTGACTCCAACTGTTACAGATCTTTGCACGTTCATGGTAAAACACCGAAGACAATGTAAGGAAGACAAAATAACCTGTATGCAAACTGGTGTGTTCCTTTTGTTTTCTAGCAGTTCTAATATTATGCATGCAATGTTTGTTTTGTTTTGTTTTGTTCAATTTTAGAAACATAAGTTGGAAATCTACTTTTGTTTTTGCATGCCTCAAAAACCCTGCTCCATCTCTCTAATTGCTGCATACTATATGTAGTAACTGGTCAAGTGAGTGTGGATGAGAGGGACATTGTGCAGAGCAATTTTGCACCAAATAAACTGAGGTCCCCATCTTCTTCTCCATCTTTGATTCAGATTGTCTGTTCTATAATTTTTGTTTTCTACAACCCTCACTGCCGCACAGTGTTGTGTCATCTCCATAGAAACCAGCTGTAGCTGTGTTCCACGTGGATGAATGTGGTCTCAGAGGGAAATCCAAGAAGTAGTCAGGATTCTTTGCATTCTTCTTCTGATCGTTCTTTTACTGTTTTTTCCCCCTGCTCTCAGTGGTGTTCAGATCTGCAGCTGAGTCTACTGAACTCTGAACCGTGACCAGCACCAGTCTATGACTGACCTCCTGCCAGGTACAAACTACACACACACACACACACACACACACACACACACACACACACACACACACACACACACACAAACATGCTTTCACACAAACGTGCTTTCACACATGCTGTGTTTGTGTTCAGCATTTAATTGGAATGAAAACCCCACACATCTCCATGCTGAGCAGTTCCCCACCCCCGCTAGCTGTAGAGTTTAAAGTCTGCTCTTCTCAGCAAGATCTCTCAAGAATGTAAAAGATAGACCTTTTTTTAGTTTTTGTCATTGTCAACAAAACTCATGAAAAGGTCAAAACCAACCCTGCATTAGTTTAGGTTGTATCAGTGTTGCTTCTGCTTTTACAGCATGTCTTTCAATTTTACAATTAACAGTATAGGAACTCTCTATATTGTACTTTTTTTTCTTAGGTGTGTTTTTTTTTTTTTTTAGGTCTGCACTCCAAGGTATTTTTGGGTGATTTATTTATTTTTTGCTTCTGTCATCTTTTTGCTCACTGTGGACTCATCTTTTTACTGCAATATGAAGTCCAGCACAACCATGGCCAGAAGAGAACTTAAATGTTTTTTGAACAGTGTAGACAGTATAATTTATTATAACTTCAATGTCATTTTTAAAAGAAAAAAAGCAAAACAAAAGTTGAATTTTGTTGATGATTTGTTTTGCAAGAACTGATAACGCCTAGAATCTACATGATTTTTTTCAAGTGACCCCAGGTGTTCCACTAACTGGCAGAAACATCATTCCACGTACTATAGATATTTTATGACTTCGATTTTTACTTTGTTTCCATACTTCTCTCTGCTCTGAGTAAACACAGCCTGCTATTCAGCCCATTTAAACAGGAATTTTTGTCATGAATCTGTTGATTGCAGCTAAGGCAACTGGCTTCTCAGTTATGCTGAGGAGTTCAGAATTTTTTTCGTTTGTTTGTTTTTACAGAATCTGGTTAGTCAAAACTGTTTATTTCTGGTACATTTGTAAGTGAGACATGAAGCATAAAGGGATTTCGAAGAAATATCCTGATTTTAAGCCTAGATTTGGCCCCAATAATGAACTTTTACTCAATCATGTATATTATTTAGAAAGATCTGTTAATATAGTCGATATAATGCCATAGTTCTTCAGCCAGTTCTTCATCATCATTATTATTATTACTATTGTTATTATTATTATGTCTAACCTATAATTTGTTCGCTATATAAACTGAACATGCTATCTTCACTTTGCACTGTTTGCTGCCACTGCAAGAAGGTTATTTACTTGTTGGAACATTGGCATTTCATAAGCATAGCATTAGTCACTCTTTCTCGAAGCTAAATCACAAGTGCGCTGTGTGCATGTTAATACACTTGTAGATTTAAATTTTTTTCAAGAGTATGGACATACTCTTCTGTTGCAGGTGATCTGTCTTGTGCCACGATGATGTCAGTAGATGTGACCAATCGCAATGGGCCTGCTGCCACGCCTCCCACCTCACTCAGCCTTCGCTCCTCACACAACCAGCTACTCAGCAGCGATGTCATCAAACAGGGCTCCGCCACGCCTCCTAAGTGTCGCAAAAAGTATGCACTTACCAGTATCCAGGCTGCCATGGGCCTCGGAGAAGCCGTGCCGCCTTCATCATCGTCACCTTCATCATCCCCATCACAGTCTTCTACCCCCAACAATCCCAAACTAGCCAAGAATGGGGTCAACCAGCTTCGTAAAGCTGGTCAGGACCACAACAAAAACACAACCGGCCCTGACTCGATGGACCTGGAGTGTAATTCAGAAACTATAGCAGATGACCTTAATGTCAACACAGCCGAGGAACAAGATAGTCACACTCTTACCAATAACGACCGAGAGGAAGACGTCTTTGAGCAGGACGTTGAACTTCAACCAGATACTAGCAGTGACGCAGAACCTGAGCAGAAAACAGAATCAGACACAGACTGTATCACGAACCCAACTGCCGAGCTGAAAATGAACAGCAGTGCAGAAGATTTGGACTTTGACTTGAACATTGAGACAGAGGAGACCGACGACATCAGCATTCTGTCTGAGAAGGAAATATCAAAGATGAAGACTGAGGAAGATGAGGTGGTGGAGGAGCAGGAAGATGAGGAGAATAAGCCTTTGCTGGTGATAAAAAGTGAGTCCCCTGTGAAGAACCACAAAGTTTCTCCGGGCCTGGAACTCATCACTGACCTCCACTCCAACCTCAAGCTCCTCACATCAGGCAAGAACTCTCCGGTGCCTCCTCCTCCTTCCCCGCCCCGGCAGGCCAGCCCAGAGGACACTCCTCTGCTCTCTGTGGCCTCCTGCCCCTCCTCTTCTTCCTCCTCTCCAGAGACGAAGAAGGACAGAAGGACTGGCGCAAAGACAGATTGCGCTTTGAACCGCATCCAGAATCTGAACCCTAGTGATGAAGAGTTGAGCTGGACTACCCTGTCCCAGGAGAGCAACTCCCCAGAGGAGACAGGTACACACTGCTGCAAATAGTTTACTGCAATACACTTCATTGCTACTGTTATTTACTGGTATTTAGCATAATTCTGATGTGAGAATAAGTCAGCTAGTTGAATTTTTTTTTTCTCGTGTTTGCTATGTAGTGGTTTCACTGTCCTCTCTGCTGATGACATGTTTCCATTTCGGGTGACCAAGTATGTGTGTGCGTATACAGAGCTCAGGCACTGCTGGAACAGAATAACAAACGCTCCAGCCTCGAGTAAATCTCCCAGAATCCTTCGGGGACTGGAAGTGCCCTTGTAACCTCATGGGTGGTTAGGAAGCCAGATCAGCTGCGTCTCTTTCAAGTTGTGTCCCGTGCTTTTGTGTGTGTGAAGCTAGTCATGAGTTAAAAAGAAATCCAGCTGCCATTATCTCTCTCCTTTTCAGTGTCTTTGACTTTTCATCTAAAGCTGAGAAGAGAGAGAGAGAGAGAGAGAGAGAGAGTGAGGAGCTGATTTGGCTCCCTATAATCTTCTGTACTATCCTTTGCTACCCTTAGTTTTCATCATTCTATTTCTGGAAATATGAACATGTGTGCTCTGCAGATAGAAAGTGATGCAAGCTGTTTCAACACACACATCCAGACTAATAAAGGATGATAGACCTGCAGTATTGCAGCTGAACCTTTCCACATGTACCTGTAGTTGTAAATGTGGGAGAAGCTTTAGTTTTATACTGACTGACAGAGACTTTTGGTTGCCAGTTCGTTCAGGGCTGCATGTCTAAGGCCAGTTTGTATCATGTTCTTTCCAACTTGTCTTGATAATAGGGCTGCACGATTATGGCCAAAATGATAATCACGTTTATTTTGATAAATATTGAAATCATGATTAATTATCCCGATTATTTGTTGATTTTAACCAAAACAAATTTTATTGTTTTACAGACTTACTATAACTGTTTTCACATCCATATATTGTGCTACATTCCTGCTAATGTGCAAATATGTGCTTAAAAATAATATAGGTCCTCTTTTTCTCCAAAGTGAATAACTCGCTCAATTCGCGTCAATCGCGCCGCGGGACATTTACTCGTGTCTAATCGTGTCTTCACATTGACTTTACATGTAAATCATTAGCGCGAATGATTTCACTCGCGTCTGGTGTGAACACAGCATTACACATTTTAAATATCGCTAGATCACGCAAATTTGATCGCAGGAAGCCAATATTGTGATCGTGATTAAAATTCGATTAATTGTGCAGCCCTACTTGATAAGCAGTGTGGGATGGACGTAAAACTGTCAACTAACAATTGCCTTCATAATCAGTTCCTTTGCATACTATTTTGTCAATTCACTTTTTAATCTATTAATATATAAAAATGCTGAAGGATGCCCATCACAACTTTGACAGTCCAAAGCCTTAAGCTACTGAGTTTGCTATCACATAAAACAAAGAAATACAGCAATTCTTCACAAAGAAAAAGCTGCAATATTTGACATTTTTGCATAAATAATGATTTAAACTGTTAATTACTTGTTAAAATAACTGCTATTTTTTTTCTTCTGTCAATCAGCTTATCTTTTAAGCAAGTAATTGTTTTAGCTTTATTCTAAAGTGTGGTTATTGTGTGGAACACAAATTAGGAATCTGTTGTTTATTTAATTGTTTATCTGTGTCACTACTTTGGGATGAAATTTGGAAGTGAAGCTAAGAAATTCCTCTTTTGTGTGCCTCTGCTTTCTCATACTCTCATACTCGCTTGTTGCCTAACTTTGCAGAAGGTCTGTTGAGGTTGTTGTATGTCTTTGTTTGCGTTTGGTAAAAATTTGAGTGTGGAGTTTCAGGTTCCTCTCGTTGCATCGATCATCAAAATGACATATTTAGAAGTTTGTTGCTGTATTTCCATCCACCACTCGGCTGCTTCTCTGCAGCTCGAGCACACCGACTCACCTTTGACTCTCCTCAAACACTGTAAAACTGCTCAGCGCTACATAATGACAAGTTACATGGGAAATGCTCAGTCATTGCATTGGCTGCTTATGTTGCTCTTATGCCTTCTAGCATAAACCACCATACGGGCTTGTTACGAAGGTTTAAAAGTTGATTTTTATTGGAGGTTTTCTTTAAAGGTCTCTTGTACTCTTTTTTTTTTTTTTTTTTTTTCCATAGCAAGTTGCTGAAAGTTTCACATGTTAACAGTAATACAGTTAATATATGTATATACTTCTGGTTTTATCCCTTTTCCACACAGGCTATTTCAGTGTTTGTAGTTTTAAATACAAATGAGCTGCTGCTGCTCACACTTGTCTCAGGAAGAACGCTGAGCCTTCTGCAGGAGAACCAACATAGCTGTTAAGAAAAACACAGGAATTTAACTGTACACATTTCAAGTGGAATTGGATCCAGAACACCTAGGGGAGAGACTCCTGCAGAAGTTGCTGTGTTGACAATATGACAGGACTGACCACACAGACTGAATGTTTATTTTGAGGAGGGGCTGTGCGAGGAGATTCATTGTCATCTTTAAGAAAATTTCAATTGAAGTACTAGCTGCTCGACTTTGGAGGTGCTTTGATTTGTACCTGCTTTCCATTACTGTGTCAAAATACAGAGAGAAATTCTAAATTCTTCAGAAATCCTGTGCTGTGTTTGCTCACCATCCTTGAGACAGGAGGACAACAAACTGCGGCGGCAGACTATTTTATAGGCTCAGCACACCTCAGGAATAATCATTGACATGGTGCTATAGCCCAATCTGTAACTTGCTGCTTTATCCTCTAAAAAGGGCAAAGTCACAGCCAGTCATTCTGAAACATCCACAGAAGCCCTGTGTCTGTTTCTGTGTTTGGTATGAGGAGCAATGTGATGTGTCTATGCAGCAGACCATCTATTTTAGTGTGACTGGAGCTGATCAGTTAACACATGTGGATATGATAACCAGAACCTAGCCTTCGCTTTAGCCTTTTCTGACAGAATTTGTTTGCCAGCCAGGAGCGGGGGTTACCCCTTTATGACGTCTTAACGGTCTGCACACCAGAATAGCTCATTTAGATACTTTTTGATTGATCTAGATAGAAAATAATTGAAAGAATTGTCTTTTCTCATACTTCGTGTGGTCTTATAAGCCCTGGTGACACAAAGCTATGTTCAACGATGACAAAGTGGATTTTGCATAGTCTGTCCCCTATAATTGGACCGTTAAAACTCTCTGCCTGGTGCTTTGGAGACATATTTTACATCCATCTCCTGTGGAGCAGCAGCCGTGACCTCTGACATGATCTCAGCTGTAAACCATCCTGTCTCTTTCAGTCTTTAAGAGCGCTGCTGCTCTGAGTTGTTGAGCCTCAATGCAGCTTTTTTTTTTTACTCCCAGAGTACTTCTCTTCTCTGATGACTCACTGTCCCTCTCAAGTTGAGGGCTCTGAGCATCTGTGCATTTAATTTCTCTACCAGTATGATTACCAGCAGCTCTGCGTTCTTGTTTCACCGTTGCTGTCTGAATTCCAGGATTAAATTTCCATGTGTTCTTATGTCTATGATTTCCTCCTCTATCTTTAAAACTCATATTTGCTTGTCTACTCTGTCATTTCAAAGTGATAATTCCCATTCATCTCATGGCCTTATGTTTTTTTTTTTTTGTTGATCACATTTTGTGTGCTGATGAGCTGAGCAAAGGGAGGAAAAAATAGGCTATGAAGCAGAACTGTAGTCTCTAGTTAAGGAATATTGTCTTCTGAGGGTTTGCTAAAGAGTCTATAATCACGAAACTGGCATCATTCATGTTGGATTTATGGATCTCTAACACATACTCGTCCACACTGACGTGCCCCCCTGTCTGCCTCTCACTCTCACATTGACAAAGCTGTGTTGTTTTCCCAGGCGTGTGTTAGATTTCTCTGTGGATGTTGCGGGCTAGAGGGCCAGTACGACACTGCTTTCACACAGGACAGCCAAAACACACACACAGACACAGATACACACACTCATGCAGAGTTGAAGAATGTAATTTAAAGCCCGTTTAAAGAAGTTTCCTGCATTCTCACACAACAACATGCACTGTAACACTTGCAAGGGAACACTAGTTGAATGAGCACAGAACAGCAACATGTGGTATTCTTGGTGTTTTTCAGCCATGTTGAGGCATTTTTTTCTCTCCGTCATCCATTTACTGAAACATTTTCCCACCCCCTGTATGTTTGTGTCCTCTTTGACATTTTTTTTCTCCCTCCATCAGCTCCCTATCATCCTGCACTGCATATGATGCTGAAGGAAAGATGATTTGGGGGTTGCCAGGACGACCAAGAGAGGCTTAAAGGAAGGCAGAGAGGAAGGAGAAAGTGCTAAACATATATTTGATGAGGATGATGGTGCCGAATTTCTAGCTCCCCTCCATGTGCCCCAGTGTGTTTGTTCTAGTGCAGGAAAGGGAGGGCAGGTTTATTCGAGCTGTTGATGTTGTTGATGCTCCAGATAGAGGAAGGAGAGACAACAAGAGCAAACATAGCTCAGCTGCAGGGGATACACAACCTCTCTACTTCTCCCTTTTATGTGCATTTTCGACTCTCTCCTTTCTTGCTCGCTCCTACTCCTCCTCCTCTCATTCACTCTTTTTTCCCCGTCTTCGCTGCCTCTCTCTTCACGTCATGATTTCCCTGCCTCTCCGCCTCGATGTGTCTCGATGTCCCCCTCTCTCTCTCATCTCTCTTCCTCCTCACCTCTCTCTTGCGGTGTCCCCCCGCTCTTCTCTCTCTCT